AACTTTTGCATTGAAACTGCTCCCAGGGCAATAGAAGCTAAAGAGAAAATAAACAAATGGGACAACACCAAAATAAAAAAGCTTTTTCACAGCAAAAGAAACCATCAACAAAACAAGAGAGAACATACATTTTTCAAATGTTATAAATGATAAACGTTTAATCTCCAACATCTACAAGCAACTTATACAACTTAATAAAAGGAAGATAAATTATCCAATAAAAGAATGAACAATGGACCTAAATAGAATCTTTTCTAAAGAAGACAGAAGGACAGCCAAGAGACACATGAAAACATGCTCAAAGTCACTAATTATCCTACTATGCTGCCATAAAAAAGAAGTTTTACCATTTGCAGCAACCTGGATAGAACTGGAGAAGATTATGCTAAGTGAAACAAGCCAGTCAATGAAAGAAAAATACCACATGATCTCATTTGTGGATTATAAAGAACATTATAAACTGATGAACAAAAAGATAGATACAGAGGCAGTAAAGCATCAAACAGACTGTCAAATTATAGTGGGAAGGTTAGGGAGAGATTGGGAAGATAAGAGATCAACCGAAGGACTTGTATGCATGCATATAAGCATAACCAATAGATGCAAAACACTGGGGAGAGAGGCATGTATGGGAGTGGGATGGGGGGCAATGGTAACATATGTACACATTTAATACCTTAATAAAAATAGTGGATAAAAATAAAATAAGAAAATTAATCAATTAATTAAAAAATAAAATGTATTGACCTGGTCTTGTCCAGCAGGTGTGGCTCAGTGATTGAGCATCAATCTATGAATCAGGAGGGCACGGGCCTGGGCTGCTGGCTTAATCCTCAGAAGGGGAATGCAGGAGGCAGCCAGTAGATGATGAAACATCTCATGATATTTCTCTCTCTCTATCTCTTTCCCTTTTTCTCTGAAATCAATAAGATATATTCTAAAAAATGCAATGACCATATTATTCGAATCCTGACTTAAACAAGTTGGAAGAGGAAGAGATGATAGAAATGTTTATTGTTTTAAATATTTTTAGACTACTAAATTTCAAAATAACATATTATGCAGCAATACATACCAATACAGAAATCCACCCTGAAAACTATGACTGGAGTCTGAGAATTTAACAAAAACAGGAGACTCCCTGAGTTCAGATTTGGATTCAAATTTTGGAACCGACCACTTGCTAACCTGAGGGAAACCATTTAGACTCTCTCTGAAAAGCCGGCGCCTTCAAGTTGTAAAATAGAGATAAAAATGACTAATGCCCAGGGTTACTGTAAGAATTTAAAGACAAATGTGCTTAGCACATTGCCTTGCACAAAATAAATGAAAAGTTGATGAGGATCTGTGATTTTGCATAATCACATCAGCAGTGCTCATTTTGAAATGGCCTCACTCCCAACCCGAACACAGAAGATTTCCCAGAACAGGCCAGTCCGCATCTCCTCCTAAGAGAAGGCAGACGGAGGGTGGCTCCAGAGTACAGTGAGCCAAGTCTTGTACCATGGTCTCCACTGCACATCTGTTTCTACAGTCTCAGGGCCTCCATCTACACAAGACCCTGTGTATTGCAGTGCAGGAGACACTCTTGAGCTGGAGTGTGAACTCAGGGAAGACACGCAGGAAAAGGGAGCCTGAAATATTTCCTGGGTGCTTGCAGACAGGCTTAGAAATGGGATATGAAATGGAGGCATCCACATTGAATTTAAATTCAATGGTGTTTCCTCTCCTCAGTCTCCCAACACAGAAAGAGGCTAGCTCTGAACTGGCAGCCTTACTTTCATTTGTCATTATACTTTACACACATGGAAATTTTAATGTCTAAAGATGGGAGGTGATTATAAGAATAGAACTACACATGTCTTTTTGGCAGCCCAGTCACCAGCACTTAAGTTCACTTCTGACAGTTCTCAGAATCTAAAGACCTGTAAGCGCTCAACTGCCGACTGCCTATCCAGAAGTGATTTCACTGGCAGGATTTCAAACATTGAAATCACTCGCTTTTTTTATGCATATTTTCCCCACCACAATATTTCTCCAAAACATGTAAAACACTACCCTCGAGAGACATTAAAAAAAAAAAAAAAAAAAAAAAAAGGTTTGTGGTACAGGGTTTGCTAAAAGGAAAATCACCCTTGTTTCTGAACCCAGAAGTATACAAATTCAAAGTCATTTGCTAAAATCTAAGATTAGGGCAAAATGGGTGAGAGCTTTCTCCAAGAAGTTGGAGCTTGGTGATTACAAAAGGCAGTTGAACGTGTTGATTTTTGAACTACTTAATGGTTAAAAACTAATGGTCCCGTTAAGAATTGGAACACAGTGCTATTATGTAACAGTTGGCTCTCTCCAGCAGAACTGCCTGCTCACAATGCGGTCTGACACAGAATGGGAGGACGTGAGGAGAAGCAATACATCTAAGCTCGTGCTGGAGCAGCACGATGTCAGGAGCGGGCAAAAAAGTCAGAGCTTGAAAAAAAACAAAAAACCTACATTTGCTGCCAACATGCCAAGTGAGCCTGTGAAAGTCACTCACTTTCTCTGATCTCAGTTTCATCTCATGTAAAAGAAAGGACAGTTGATCATGGAGGGGGAAGCAGGAGTAAGGAATCCTACAGGACCTGAGCCCATCTGCTTCCCAGCCAGCTACCTCTTTGGTCTCCCATTCTGCATCTGTATAATAGAGATATCACACATCGCCTACCACAAAGGGTTGCTTTGAGAATTTAACCAGAAAATGTACACAAAGGGTTCTTAAGTGTGAGGCCCCTGATAACTACTCATAAATGAGCTGCTACTGCTGCTATTGTGATTACTCTTATTACTACCTTTCAAACAACCACAAAAAGCATTTGTTTGAGGAGTAAGTTATTCGCGACAAAACGCTGCTTCCTAGACAACTGAGATTATGGCTTGCTTCAGCATAACTGGGCTTCCAATGGTCACCCACTCTTCCCAAACCTGGGAAAAGTATCTGAGGCTTTGGAGATACTCACTACATGGTTGTTAAGTGAATGAACACGTGGATAAGTGAATGATAAAGGTGTAAGTGAGCAAATGTCTTAAAAGCTACTGCTGCCATGGCCAGTTATGCTCATTGGCCTGTGGACCAAAAAGTTGTGGGTTTCATTCCTGGTCAAGGGCACTAACTCGGTTGCAGTCTGGATCCCTGGCCCTGGTTGGAGGGGGGGGAAGAGGGGGGAGGCAACCAATCAATGTCTGTCTCTCTCTCTCTCTCTCTCTCTCTCTCTCTCTCTCTCTCTCTCTCTCTCTCTTTCTCTCTTTCTCTCTTTCTTCCCACCCCCCGCCCCGCCCCACTCCAATCTCTCTCCCCTCCATTTTCTGTTAAAAAGAAAACAATCAATAGAAAAAATATCCTCTGGTGAGGATTAAAAAAACAAAAATAAAAAACTACTGCTACACCCAAACTGGCCACTGTAGTGTTGGGCTAATATTGCCAAACACTACAGAAAGCACACATGGTAGGGCTTACCCAGGCCTGCTGGCAAACTAGGGATGTTGTCCAAGTATTCCTGTGAGTGTGCAGCCTGCACTAAGGGGATGGTGCAAGTCTCATTGAGGACTCTAACTCAGTCCTTCAACCTCCAAGACTCAGGCCACTTGTCTGTTCCAGAAATAGATTCAGAGAACAGACTCCTTAACCATCTAAAATTGTTGAGTGGGAAATTGATGGAGACACGAGAAGAATTGGATACTGGACAGAACTGAGGGGATCAGATCTACATATAAATATTTGGCTTAGACTACCTCCCCTTACACCCATCATCTGCTTCAGGATCCTAACAGGCTAATGCAAAGACAGCTTGTCATGCATCAGAGTTCTCCAAATTCAGTCAGGAGAACTGGTACCTCCTTTGGAACTATCTTATACTTGGCACCTCTACTAACTTAATCCTCATGTTTAATAATTCAATCCACTGAAAGTTACTTCTTAACGAAATTCAAACCCCTATGTTAAATAAGAAGCCAGTATTGCCTGCCCTAAAAATTATGAGAGAACCGTAAAAATAAACACTTGGGCACAAAATATTACCATTAAAATGGCACTGACCACCACTGCTTGCCTCAGCACCAGATCTGGGTCTGTCTGTTTCTCTCTCTCTCTCTCTCTCTCTCTCTCTCTGAAAGAGAGTTAACATGCAATAGTATAGTAAAAATTTGTCAGTCTCTAGCCAAGGCATTCAGAAAGACAAAAAAGAATGAAAAAAGAAGTAAGTTTTTCATGATGGGAGCCCATTTGGGAGCCACGTTCGCACACCACCATAAAATCATGGCAGATTTGAAAAACAATGAAACCTCCTTCTCACGCTCTGATCCTCAGCTCCCTTGCTATACTGGATAGCTGAAGTATCCTCTTTCCGAGTGCAATGAAAATGTTCTTTCCGCCGAGACCGGTTTGGCTCAATGGATAGAGCATCGGCTTGGGGACTGAGGGACCTGGGTTCGATTCCGGTCAAGGGCATGTACCTTGGCTGCGGGCATATCCCCGGTAGGGGGTGTGCAAGAGGCAGCTGATCGATGACTCTCTCTCATCGATGTTTCTAGCTCTCTATCTCTCTCCCTTCCTCTCTGTACAAAATCAATAAAATATATTAAAAAAAAAAAAAAGTAAAAGCCTTTTAAAAAAAAAAAAAAAAAAAAAAAAAAAAAAAAAAGAAAATGTTCTTTCCCTCCACTCGGAGACTGCAAAAATGTCCATAAGCAGGATGCACGTAGGATCATCTGGCTTTTATTAGCCACTTCTACTAGTGCTTTAATCGTGTCTTTTCTTTTTATCTGCGAGGCTGTTAATAGATGGATGACACATGTCATAATGAGAGTCAAGAAAATATGGTGCACCTTAGCTGGGCCAATATAAATGAGCCTCCAGCTTGGACGCCGAGACAACACCACAGCCTTGCATTCTCCCAGTTATGTTCATCTGATAAAGACATTACAATAGTAAGATATTATGATCTATAACCCTCCACTAGAACACTCACACATTCTTGGCCTTAAACGCTTGAGCAAAATGCTGCACGCTACGGAGCTGAGCGAGGTCCAGGGTCATTGCTTCTACCTTGGCTTTATGCTGGAATGAGAGAAAATAAAAAGAAATGATAAATAACAGCAAGTTTAGTTCGTGGTATCAAGTTACAGTAAATGTGTTATGGAACATGTCGGAATTCCCCTGTTTAATATTAGAAGCCCAGAGAGAATATAAATCATCAAAATGAATGGAAGAACAGGGCTTTTACTGCCAAGTTTAGGGAGGATGTGAGGCCGGGCCTCTGCTGAAACTGCAGGCTGGGGGTTGTGCTGCTTCATGCAGCGCACAGGAGAGGCGCCTGAGGGTCTTCAGGCTCCCGTATCGCCTCTCACTCTGCATCCTAAAAAACCGGAGTGATAGGAACACCAGGACACAGCTGACTGGGGCAAGAATTCAGCTGACATTTTAATCTCAAAAACTGCCATGCAGGTTCTGGAATTACTCCTCCAATACTGTATCAAAAATTAAAGACAATATAGCCCTAGCTGGTTTGGTTCAGTGGATAGAGTGACAGCCCATGGACTGAAAGGCCCCAGGTTCTATTCTGGTCAAGGGCAGGTACCTCAGTTGCAGGATCAGTCCCTGGCCTGGTCAAGGTGCATGTGGGAGAAAACCAATCGATGTGTCTCCCACACATCCATTTCTCTCTCTCTCTCTCTCTCTCTCTCTCTCTCTCTCTCTCTCTCTCTCTCTCTCTCTCTCTCTCCCCATCTCTTCCACTCCATGGAAATATATCCTCAGGTGAAGATTAACAATCACAAAAAGTAAAGACAATCCTACCTAATAAAGAGGAAATGTGCAAATTGACCATCATGTAGTAACAAAATGGTTGCACCCACAGCAGAGGCCAAGTTTCTGTAATAAGCCTTAATGAGCAATCAGCAGGGACCTGAAGTTGCATGGCATTGGGAAGGGGCAGGGGACCTGAGGCTGCGCCCCCCCACCCCCTTGCCCCACACCCCTGCCTGATGGGGCTTGACAGGGGACCTCAGACTGCAGCCCCAGCAGGGTTTGACGGGGGACCTCAGGCCGCACCTCCCACCCTGGCACCAGGCCGTGGGACCTGAAACCACACCCCCTGTCCAATGGGACTTGATGGAGGACCTGAGACCGCATCCCTGGCCCAGCGGGGCTTGACAGATGACCTCAGGCAATGCCCCCTGGTCCAGGCCAGGGACCTCAGGCCGCACCCCTGCCCTGGTGCCAGGCCAGGGGACTTGAGGCCACGCCCCCCACTTGGCAGGGCTTGATGGGTTGGGGCTGGCTGGGGCTAGGTCTCATACAATTTCAAGGCAAATGTAGGTGGGCAGGGACTTGACTCTGGTTCCCGTGGCTGGCCCCAGACTCACACAGGAAGAGGATTTTTATATATATTTTACTAATTTTCTTTTATCTCTGACACTTCTATTATAGAGAAAGGGCAGATAGCAATATTAAAATATTTCCTCTAATTAATTCCCTTTTAATATGCATGAATTTTGTGCACTGGGTCACTAGTTTATTTATAGTAAGTACAGAAACAGGTAAAAGTCACTTATATAGAAGGATTATGACTGACTCAGATGTTTGGGGTTTAGTAACCCACAAAACACTACAGACAGATGGGGCATTTGTGGATTATCATAATGATACTCATAATGGCTACTATCTATTCAGAGCCTTTCATGGGCTGGACATTTACATGCACAATCTAGTTTCACCCTCACACCTGAGCAATGGGCTATATTTTCCCACTTTTCTTATAAGAGATCAGAGAGGCCAGAAGTGCAGGTAGCAAGCATTGATTTTAAGCCAATCTGACACAAAAGCCCAAGTTCCCTCTTGGAAAGGAACTCAAAGGGCTGGAGCAGTCAGGCTTTGATGCATCACATTCCACTGGACAGCTCCAGCACACTTCTGGAAAGATCAGGGTTTCCTCTCAGACTCGCCTTGTGTGAAAGACACTCCCAATTTTTAGTTTGGCTGGACTTCAGGGTGTGATATTCAATACTATCAGTTCTTAGACCCACCTCCTCCAAAGATAGGATTCCAGGCCACCTGCCTAATCAGGTAAAAGAGCCCCTCAAACAAATGGTTGAATTGAGAATTCTTGTCTAGATGGTGAGGCTACAGGAAGACTAAGGAGAATAACATGACACCTCTCTAAGGCTAGGAAAGGCGAATGCAAACAGCACTGCTAAGAACATCCTGCAAACGAGCTGTTCTACTCAGGATGGATACAGGCCATGCAGGGATGCTCAGTGGATGTAGGGCAGTTGATCTTGGCTGCCAAGGTCCTGGGCTCTCACCCAGTTCCAAAGCTTTGAATAACAAACACCAGGCAGAGACAGCTGAGAAGAAGCCTGCCTTGAGGCCATGAAACAATTCTAAGACTCAGTTTCCTCCTTTGTAAAAGGTGACTATTAATGGCCTACTCACAGAATTGTGAGTATAAGTGTAAAGCACCCACCATCCTGTCTGGAAAAGAGGAGCTGTTTGGTAAATTTAAGGAGAGAGAGATAAAACATCTACTATGCCCAATTCCTCCCCTGGTGCCAGCCCGCAGTAAATGGTGGTTTGGGTGGACTGCTATGCAGCATGGTGTTAAGGATATGCAAGGGTCTGCCCTGAGGATTAGATGTCTGTTATATCCTGGAGGACCCAGGTCATGTCTAATCACAGAGCCCAGTTCTAGGGAAAGTGGACAGAGAAGGATTCTATGACTTCCCCAAACCTAACAGCAGACCAGTGGCAAAAGCCTGGCCAGTATAGGTTTACATTCATTATGCAGTAGCAGATGCACCAACGTGCAGATTTCAAAAGGAGGAGAAGGATAGTGATGGCATGGCCAAAAAGGCCTTCACATGCTTCTGTGTGTGTAACTTACAGTTGGCAAGTTGTCTGTTGGTCTTTCCCTTTCACTTTAAAATAATGCACAGAGCTGCCACTACTAATAAGAACAAAATCAGAATGTACACCTCCAGGGGGAACAAGGGGTCACAAGCCATCAAGCAGTTCAACAGACTAATCCACAGGCTCTGGGTTACTAGGCTCCTGGGGACAGTGATTCAAGTCTGCACACTATTACTCAGGTAATTCTCCTGCCCTCAGTATCAGGTTTCTGTTTCTACTACCGACCCTGAGAAATGTAGTGAAACTGTGTGCGATATAGTGAATCCAGTGGGGTGGGGGGGTGGGGGGGACAGAACACAGCTTTTAGAATGGGGGGAAGAGGGTGTTTATGAGTGTGTGTATTGGGAGATTTGCTTTTCTGACTACCTAAGAACTTTAGCAACTTTATAAAAGTGTTTATCATGAGACATGCTCTAAATGAAAATGCAGAGGCTGGTGGGTCCTATTTTTGAGGGATAACCTGTGGACTGCGAGGTGAAGGCAAGTGTTTCAATTTGCCAGTGTGAGCTTTTCTGCCCTGTCGGGCCTTGAATCTGGGACTGACCACAATTCACTTCCATGGTTTAGCTCATGAACTTTTTGTTGCTGCTGTCAACTCTGTTTTGGAACTAATAATAGACTCTCAAGAAATGGTATTTAAAGTGTTCACCTTGCAACATCCTCTATGGTGACATCTCAGCCATGATCAGAACCACTTGATTGACACTGGCAGAGTGGAATTTATTAGACATCAGACACTTCTAAGATTTCACCAGTTTTTGGATGCACTTAGTTAATTTATTTGTAATGCCTTTGTGTATAATTCTGTGACATCTGACCACACATATAAATTTGTGTTACCTTCGCCAGATTTGAGATATAAAAATGTTCCATCACACAAAGGAACAGGTGACCTTCTCATTAAGAGGTGCAAGAATTATCACATGCCATACAGCTTTGTTTGGCCAGATGTGCTCTCTGGATTGGCCAAGCAAACACACACAAAGTCCCAGCTTAAAATCCTTTTGCAGCTGGGAATGGACAAGAAGATATGGTCTAGATCCCTCAGTTTGGTTCACACACAGTTTGTGTCAGTCAGACAGAATTCCATAAAGTACACCACCCACCCACCCACACACACACAAAACAAACCTCTGTGTCTTAAAACACCAAGGATTATTACTTGCTCATGTTCCATATCCATCCCAGGGTGGTGGGGCCATGTTAATCATAAGTCATGTTCATCAGGGCAACCAGGGCTCAGGCAGATGAAGCCTCCACCTCTATAACATCAGCAAGTTCCACAGTGGGGAAAGGAGTGTGGCAATTGCACAGGGTTCCCCATGGTTTCCACCCAGCATTGACAGAGGCTGTTTCTGCTCACATTTCATTGGCAAAACAACTCATGTAACTGCATTGTTTGAGAAGGTACAACCCTCCAAGAGCCCAGAAAAAGGCATTTGATGGGGATGTGTAATGGAGAATGGTAAAGACTATGATGTGACTTGGCCCTGCCTACCTCCCCAGGCTTTTTTCAGGTCTCTGCCTACTTCACACTTTCATTAGTTATAGAGAACTTTTAAAAGGCTGGAAAAATATGAACAAAATAAATGCATGTACAATCTCTCCACCCTAAAATAAACTGTTATCCTTCCACTTGTCGATCTCTCCTTCCTTTTCTATCTATCTGTCTGTCTGTCTGTCTCTGTCTCCATCTATTCAATCATACACTTAGCTTTAACAGAAAAAAACTTCATACTAAGAATTTTGAATTTTAAAATTGTATAAAATGCCTCTCTCAACCCTTCCTTAAATCCTTACTTTTTTTTTTTTTCTAGTCACACCAGTACACCAGCTTATCATCTCAGGCAAAACAAGAATGTAAATTTATTTTAAATTATGTATACAGATGCTAGTACCCATCATTTTAAAACAGAATGGCACAGGTGGCATCTCACACATGAAACATCAGGCAACTTCTAAGTAGCTGAGATGCCCAACTGCTCCTGACACTCTAGGCTCTACCAGAAAGACTGAGTAATTAAGCAATCCATGCACTCTTCTTACATTTCCCTGGGACCCTGGGATAGTCCCTGATGGCACTGTTCTGTAGACCAAGTCTGCCTGGTCTATTCTTTGTAAACCTGTCTGAGTGATTGTATGAGCAGAAT